ACTGATATGCCTGAACGACATGCTTCAGACATCAGAATTGTATACATTTGTCACCCTAGACTTGTCGGTCTAACTATAGAACAACTGAGGCATGGGGTTGTCAATCTCGTATAGATCTATACACAACGGTCTCGTTCTCCCTCCAGGAGACTCTAGTTATAATGCAGGACTTAAGGTGTATGCCAGGTAGGCACGGTGAAAAGAATGTCTTACAAGAACATTAACAAATTTATGTGAATTATGACTCCTTTTACTTGCAAAATAAGATAATTATACCTTTAAATAATTATATGTATCTTCGAAAGGAATGGTTTGTGACTTCCAAATTATATCAATTATAGTTTATCTTATTTGTTTGAAACTATTTATATAATCTTATATATATATATATATATATATATATATATATATATATATATATAGTGTGTGTTCTAGTATGAAAATATGAAATCAAAACATAATATTTTTGGGTTAAAACCCACAAAATTAGTAAATGACTATAATGTAACCATTTTTTCTAGTAGAGCTATCTTTTAGTAAAAGTTCCCAAAAGCCATGTTGTTTTACAAATCATAACTTTTCTTATGATTTTATAACATAGATTATGTTTGTTTTAACAATATGTATATCACAAATATTTATACCAAAACTAGTATAAACCATAACTTAGGTAAATAATATTTTATCTTTAACATAAAGATGAAAAACAGGAAATTATTTGTGGGATAAACAAAGTTTTACTACTTCTACCCCCCCCCCCCCTAAAAGATGAAAAAGCTTGAAAATGTAGGGGTATGAACTCACCTTGAGTGGTTTTGTTGGTTGATGTGAAGTGATGTTGAGAAGTTTTTCAAGCCTAAAATACTTGAATGGAGTTGATGAACTTCCTTGAGAGTAATATTAGCCTAAGGGTTTTAACACATTTTAATGTGTGTAAATAGAATGTAAACAACATAAAGATGTATTGGAGCACTAGAGGATCACGAAATGCTTACCAAAATTTTAGGACCAATCTTGGAGAATTAAACCCTTAGTAAAACCTTACACTTGTTCTTGAAGGGAAAGTTAGGAGAATATGAGAGAAGTTGGAGAGTTAAAGGAATAGTGGGAGTTTATATTTGCTTACTGCCGATGTAAAGGAGAAAAAATGATGGGACACATGCTTGGTTAACTAGAGGTTAAAGTATGGATATTTGTTGGAAATTCACGTGGGTTATTGGGATTCTTATTGGAAATAGGAGTGATGTCATATCTTAAGGTCAACTAATCTATCTTTATCTTTTCCTAGACCGAAATCATGTTCTGTAAGAGGTCATGGATGTGTTTTCGGTCATAACAATGACCCATTACGGCTGTTTGCAGCCAATGGGTGGTCCATTTAAGTGATTTCGGTCTTAGATGCTTGGTTTAAGAGTTGATTTCGGTCTTGGATCCCTCATGGAAGGGTTTTCGGCCTTAGTGGGCTTGCATGGAGTTGATTTCGACCTTAATGCTTTCTAGGCATGGTGATAAGTTGTCTTAAGCAAACCGAAATCTCAAAGGGTGGGGCACTTAGGCTAAAGGCTATACAATAGTGGTTTTAATTCCATGATTTATGTTCAAAGCATTTGGCATTACTTGCCCTTGCAACATGCTTTTTAAAGTATGCATATACTCATATATATATATATATATATATATATATATACACACACACACACACACACACTTATGCAACTATTTGACTATCCTTACGTTGTTAAAACGTGTTTTCCTTCAAGGGGTTGTCGTAAGTATAATTTCCAAAGTATATATACCTATATACATATACTTATGCCTATTTGGTTTTCAAGGTTTTATTGTAATAGGGTTACAATTTAGACCTTTCTTGATCCAAATCTATCGGGTTGTCACAATATCAAAGCATTTTGAGCATTCACGCATCCCCCTATTTTCGGTTTTTATGTTTTGGGGTGGAAAAGCATGTTGGAAAAACTATTTATTGTTCGTTGTATTTAAATTGATTTGTCTCAAACTTGATTGCTATATTTTGCTATGTATGTTTATGCAACTTGAAACATGAGGCCTTATCGTCTTAAGTCCATTCCACTTTACTCCAACCATTTAATCTTTGAGCCAGTGGTCATTATGGATAATGCTATTATGAATTAAAAACTCCTCACTCGCCTGATTGTTTGAGTGCATGATACCATATTAATCTATGGAACGATAAGCATAGATCTTGATAGGGAGTTAGTCATAGACTTGGTTGTGAACTCATTGTTTGCTCATATACATACAAACTAGTTTACTTATTACAGCAACAACTTTGTTTCTCATTATAGCAACAAACTTTTATTACAGGAAACTTATTTACTTGTCTTAGCAATGAACTTGTTTGCTCCTTGTAGTAACGAACTTGTTTGCTCATTATAGCAATGAAACTGGTTTACAAGTTTTAGCAATGAACTTTATTTCCCATGAGAATACGAACGTTGCATCTCATTTGGGCAACATACTTTATTTCTCATGATGACAACGAACTTGTTTATGCAAACTTATTTACTCATTTTAGCAATATACTTTTATATATGGAAACTTCTATCAAAACTTTGAATCTGATTCATGAAACCAATATTATTTTTAACCTGTGAACTCACCAACTATTTCTATAGTTGACGCTCGTTTTACATGCCTTTTCAGGAATCACCTAGTAAGAGGCACGTAGAGATACAACACTTGTAGGAGAATTTGCGTGTGTTGTGTTTCAAATATATTGTAATTTATTTTTAAAAAAATTGTTTAGAGTCATTGTAAATTGTAATTCTTTTTAATACTATGGTTGGTGATGTCTTATAACTTTTGCTATGAGACCCGTTGTACTGTTGTGTCCCATGTTTCCGCTTTAGCCGGGTGTGACAGGAGTCAACACCTTAAAATCTGGATCATTAAAAATGTTCATTTACAAAGGTGTTGATTATAATAGAACTCAAGCCAACTTCATTAACATGATCAAGAATAATTTTCCTTATTATTATGTTCTTCGATCATAGAATCAAAAAACACTACATGATGAAACAAATATATACTAAAGCTTTTGATTTACTTATATCAATTGACTGTGATTTTGCAACTATCGATGTCAAGATTCACCTTATGCTCGTCAATAGAGTGAATCTACCTCCTCTTGAATAAGCCATGGTGAGAGTTGAAGGAATCCTAGAAATAAATTGTGGAGCCACAGACTATCCAGAGCTTAGAATTATCTTTCGTCATGGAAAAAAGACTAAGAAGAGTCTTCTCCCCACAAGTGCACTCCATTGTTGTACAAACAAGCAACTACATGAAATTCTTCGAGTCAAAAAAAAATCCAAGTACACCAATAAAGAAGTGAAATAACAATTGCAAGAAAGGATTGCTTGGTTGGTTATTGTAAGGAAATTTTGGAAGATTCTAATCAAGTTTCTAAAACTTGATAATGAAGGTATTAGTTTCAAGGTAATTTAGGGGAATAGTTGATGCATAAAGTGACCGTCATAAGATAATGAGTTCAAATGACATGAAAAGTCCTTTTTAAAGTATATAGATACAATAAGTGTTATGGTTATGGGAAGAATATTGTTGGTGAAGATATGTGAAGACTAGAGATCAGGAAACAATGCAAAGAGTTCAAGTGTTTTTGTATTGCGAGGAGTAGAGCACAACAACCAAATTTTTATGACCTTGAGTGTTTCGTGATGTTTATCGGAACAGACATGGAAAGCATGACACCTGATCTCCATACCTTTTTGTATTATCCAGTCAATAGCGAGTACCTTGTTTCACCATGAATAGATGGTCATAGATGGTCTGAGTTAGTATTCAAAATTGTGTCTAAACTTCATTTCTTGTAGTCGGTTTATATGAAATACAAAACCTAAGATCTCCATTTATGCTTTTGTTGTTCTTCATTTACTAACTTAGTTTTGCATCCAACCCTAGTTACAATTCAACAAGGCTTCATATATATTGCTAATATTTATTTAGTTATGTTGATGTTATGTTTCCGATATAAGTTTTTCTTATAATTCCACACTTATTTATTTTTTAGCTAACCAATAGATCCATGAGATTAACTTTAAATCCTCATCATAATCTCCATGACTAAGTTCTTCTCTCAACACTTCCTCATTGTCGTGCTAATCTCAACCACTAGATATTCATCGATAAATATGTCACTTTCTTGTTAAACGAGTAAGAGATATACCTTGTCTTGGGTTTCTAGATTTCGTTGAAAGTTTGAGGAAGAGTGAATGTATATATATATATATATATATATATATATATATAGAGAGAGAGAGAGAGAGAGAGAGAGAGAGAGAAAATGAAAGAGATAGATCGAATGGAAAATGTTAACATTTGGTTGCGAAACGGAAAACCTTATAAAGGATCTCCATAATTTTTATTGATCACACAATCCAATCAACTATAATAAATCAAGATCATTTTGCCACATGTTAATCTCTCATGAGTTTTGACACTTGTCATTTTATTATATTTTTGAAATTAAATAATATCCACATGTCAATTTCTAGGTTTTTTTAATTTTAATATTTAATTTCTTTATTCAACCCGTGTAATACACGGGTTTTACACCTAGTTTAAATTATAACATAACTAGGGAAAAAATCCCGCGTTGCCGGCCCAAACCCACTCATATTCTCCGCTAATGTAATTCATCAAAATTAATATGATTGTGCTTAGATTTCAATTCCATGAATCAGAATTAAATTTCCCAACACAGGGGTAAAATTTTCATTTATTTTTAAATTAAGCTACCAACCATTCTCTGAATCAACACCATCCAACCACCAAGAAAGTTCAACATGACCATTGTCAATCAGGATACACATCTCCATCTTTGAAAAATACCCCAATTCCATCATCTTCACCTTGTTTGATTTCCACACAATATGCAATTACAACCTCTAAAGTGGTAGGAACATGATTATTTCAGTATTCAACAAAAATTCATAATTGTAACTCAATAACAGTTTGTTCAAAACTAGAAAAATGAAGTAGCATAACAAATTAAAAACTTATGGTGACCATTTTCTCCAATACAGAGCATAAAGAATAGAGACATGTAAAACAGTAGAACATGAGTTCTTCCAGCAAGCTTGCAATGGCTAACAATGGCAGAAGTAGCATTCTTATTCTTTCTAAAGGTTACAGCAACAAAAGCAGGGTTCTTCCCTGTATCCCATGACATGGCAGGAACAACTATCTCCCGGGTCCCATCTGGATGAATCCGATTATGCAATGTTATAATCATGCTGTGATTATTAAATATATCTATAAGGGTAAAATGGTCATTTACTCTCAAAAAGTTATTACCTTGTTACAGCACCCATGGATTGACCCCAAAGGCCAATTAATGGAACATTTCCATCAGCTCGCGAGTAACATACCACGGATTTCAAATCATCTTTCTGGAAAGAAAAAAAAAATCCATTTCAACTTAAAGGGTGAAAAGGTAATATATCAGAAAAATTAATAATCTTAAAACTTAGACATATCAATGACCACACCACACTTCCTCTACGATTAAAAAATGCAATAAATAGCAATGTGCTTTTGTTAATTTGTTTATTGTAGTATATCTAATATCTTACTTCCATTTCTTCCTATTATAGGATCATACTTCCAAAATCTATCCAGTTATAGCAATGTCATTTAAATACAAAGAAAATTTGACTGCTATAATTGGGTAGATTTGTATAACAAAAGTGAAAGACAATGATATAATTAGGTAGATTGACGTCTTAAAAAGAAAATAAAAAAATGAAAGGGCAATGTTGTAATATAGAAAAATGAAAGTAGGATGATGTAAATACACATATAAAGAAAGAACCATTACATATAGATATACTTTAAACAATATATCTCCAACCATACAGATATCTCTTTATATTTTAACAGCTATCAACATATGCATTCAGTTTTCAAACAATACAATCGGATGGAAGATTTGAATAGATTCATGTAGAATTTAATCACGACTATCAAAATTCTGTCAAAAATTAAGATTACTTAATACCACCCTAGACTGACATGTTCTCCTCCAGAAAGTCCAGATCAAGAAAAATCAAGAGTGAATACAGTAATATATGATGGCAGTCTGTTACTTTTCACACTCATCTTCATCATGTCAAAGCTCTGTTCTTGAAATTTACCATGTTTTACTTCATTTTTCTGAATCTATTTCACCTTCTTTAGAATCTAACCTCTTTCGAATCCATTTCTTCATAACACCATCTTGCTTCGAATTCAAGAAAACAGTTTTTTCTTTATTTACATCGGCATCTTTTGCATAACTTTCGCTTGAAACAGAGTTTATATCAGAGTCCCTTTTGTTGGCCTTGAGGAACATGAAAGATTTCATCCTTCATCAACACTCCAGACATTTCAACCATAAATGAAGGAAATTTACCTGTTCAAGAAGACCTAATATTAATCAAATATCAAAAGGAATTTTAATAAATAATTAATAATCAGATTAGGAAATCTTAAAATTACACAATAAAATCCCTTACAAAAGCAATTTCCTTATATTATACAGAAAACCATGCAGGTGTCGATGAGAGGCAATCTCACCGGAGATAGCGGTGGCTGAAATTCTTGATCATAACTGTATTTCTTGAATCTGAAAAGTTTGATTCTAGAGAAAACAAAATTGTAGTTTTCATAACTGTTTTTCAATGTCCAAAAAAAAAAAAAGGTTTAAATTAATAAAAATAAAATTATCTGTTACCCAAGAGAGCATGAAGTTGAATTATGGTCTGTTCTTCTTGAAGAGTGAATTTTCCTCTCTTTATATCAGGTCTAAGATAGTTTATCCACCTCAACCTGCAACTTTTCCCACATTTTTGCAGGCCTGTAGTATGTGTAATTTTCTTGAGTATCATAAGCAAGAACACAGTTTCGGTTATAATTTCAATAATTAATTCATAAAAGAATATGAGATTATTAGTTCATTCGTACCAGCTTTTGAAGGCAAAGCTCTCCAGCTTCCATGAACATGTTCTTGAATGTATGCCAAGAGCTTCTCATCTTCTCCAGGAGTCCAGCGGTGGAAGAAAGAATCTTCTCTAATAAGCTTAATGAAGGCGTGACCTGCAATTGAGAAGTGGAAATTAGTGGAACAAAATCGTATATATGAACTGAAGGAAAAGAAGATGGATTGGGAAAATTGAAAGAGGGTTTGAGGGGGAGAAATGTAACCAGCAAACGATGACAGTCATCCTCCTTACCACCAAAAGTTCATCCCCACAAGCCCTACATGCAATCATTCATGGCGGTATTAAGTATTTTCTCTCCAGGCTCATGTCTGCCCATGATGAATATAACCTTGTTTCCTGTAAGTCTTTGAGATAAAGATTAGAAACAAATTTTAGAAATCAAAATATCAGATCGACGCAACTAACCCGTTTCATAACCGTATTGCATTTTAGGGTTTTATAAAGCTTTGGAATTGAGGTGATAACTATCGTAACACAAAATCGAAGCGACTCAACTACAAATTTGATTGGAGAAGTATATGATAACAAAATTTGTTATATGAATTTACAAACAAATCACATAAGCAACTAAGCAGATGCAGGGATGTGAGGAATGTAACTGAAATGAACTTCAGGGTGCTTTGGAGGGTCGCCTTCACTACGGAAGACACATGCAACACAGGTGGTGGATTTCGATGGTGAAAGAGGCGAAGGAAAACACTTACCAGAAGATAATATGGACATATCAGGGCCACATGGAAGAGCGATGCATAGAAACCCCGTCGTCTATTCCTTTGGTAGAAACCCCTTCACAAATCTAAAATACTTCAATCGATGTAGGGTTTATATGAGTAGAAACCCGTTCGCGTATTCCCTTGAACATCAAACACAGATTCCTGAATCTCAATAAAATGAATACCGAAATTGAGGTAACTGACAGATAAAGATGGTGGGAGCTTTCTTCGTCGTTTATGATGTTCGCTTGTGGGAAGCACATGTTGGCGACGGAGTATTATCGAACCACCAGACGCAAAGCTGAGAAGGGAGGTTTAACCAATATCAGAGAAAATAGGGAAGAAATGGAGAAGGAAAACATGAATCAGGGGTGAAATCTATCTATGGGCAGTGGGATATCGGGTTAGAAGCCGATCGTCACCAATCCAATTCATATTGGTCAGTAAACTCCCATTTTTCATTAGTGTGTCGTGACACTAATCTTGTTGAAGAAAAAAAACAAAAAATTAAAAAAAAAAAATAGAAGTAGTCCAATCACATCCAAAAACTGTTCATGGTGTAGTTGTAGTTTAGAATTAATATATATATAAATTATCGATTAGATAAATAGATAATTATAGTGTTTAATTAAATTTGACTATTTGAAAATCTAGTCAATTGCTTTAATAGTTTCTTATTAAACTAAAAAACTAGTAATAAATAAGAAACTATCCCATATTTATTATTCTCTATATTTTAGATTGAAAATTGTGTGCAGTGCGATATGTGTATGTATTATCAGTAATATAACTAACTTATTATGTAAGTTGACATTTCTCTAACAATAAGATATATATAAATACATAACATCGATGTCTTTATTGATTAAATTACGTTTGTAGAGTACACAACGCGATTATACATGCATATCTGATATCAATTCAATCAATGCAAACATTATTATAATTAGATATGTGTTTTATGATGTTTTATCATTTATTATGATAGACGTTGCATTTGAATTTATAGTAGATTAGAAATCGTCCAAGGCCTTTAAGGAAAGGAGTCCATGGGTTGCTTAGGGCTTAAGCATCCAAATTAGGGTTTCCTTGTTAGATAACCTTAATAGCCTCACTATATATAGAGCCCTTATGCCCCAAAAACGTGGACAAGCTTCCTTCTAGGGTTTCCACATGTTTTGCGCAACCTCCTTCTCTTCTCTTATTCATCCTCTTGCTCTTGGTGTTTGTGAACCATTAGAGGAGTGACATTTGTGACTCTAAGCTTTCTAAAGTCATTACAAGGAGGATTTGAGATTGTTATTGCTACATAACTATCAAGGTATGATCTAAACCCTAATTATATGTTATATTAATTATCATATGCTAGATCTATGGTTTATAGTCTTTGATAAATTGCATGTACAATAGAGAAACCTAGATCCAAGCATTAGGGTTTGTATAAGCACATAGGATGTTCTTATGGCTAAAACCCATCAGTTTCCCCTTTACCTTGGCCATTTCCTCGCAACTTATTAAGGATCTCATCTTGAATGTAATCTCTAACATGCCCTCCTCCATGTATTTTATCACGAACACGGCATGATAAGCTTGTTTTTGAATCACAACCACTCTTAATAATGTCCTCACTATATTCTAGGATTTTCTTCTCTTCTCCAACAAGCTTTTTACCACAAACAATGTCAGTTGTGAAAATAAAAAATGATACAATAACAACCTTTAAAAGCTTAAGATACATTGTGTAGCTTTCCTTAATATTCCACTCGTGACTTGAAACTTTTTATCATGACTTCTATATATATGGATTTATATGTTTAGTTATTAAATATGGTAGTTAAGTTGTAATTATGTTAACGGGTTTACGTTTAAAACTATACATTAGTACCACTATTTTATATATTGTACAACTTGTTAGAGTTGACATAAGTAATAATTTTATATTTGTTTATATTTTATTAAATAATTTGAAATTATTTCATTTTAATTTAACTTTATACATAGATAGTATATCATAACTGTATCATTTTGTGTCTCTTCAAAAGCAAGTATATGATTACAATTGCACTTAAAGTCAGTGACAAATAAAGAAAACATATTTTACTATTTAATTAACTTAGTAGTCAATTTACTAGTATGAAGTATTTCAACCTAAAGATCTTTATGTTATTTTGTAAAGAATCCAACTATTTAAGTTCAAACGAGATTAATGTGTATGCCAATCTTCTTCCTAACTTCTTTTCCAATTTACATTGAAGGAGACTTCTCAATTAAACATTTATGTCTCTTTTTATCTTTCATATAGAATACATAAATAACAAATTTAAAAAATATGTATACTTATTTTTATGGAAAAAGAGTGTTTCAAATTAAATTGGTAAACCATATAAAAGGTTTAACAGATTTAAACAACTTTTACAAATGTCATCCTAATTTACTATAATAACAACTGAAAATTCAAAGATTTGGAAAACAAGTTAATTTTTTTTCTAGGACTTACTACCATATAGATCAAAATGACTAATTCAAACTAGCTTGGATAGAAAATTTCTTTAGTTTTATAAATAAATAGTGTAATATACAATGTTATAAAACCTATATAATAAACTAATATACTACATTTTGAATTCGTAATTTTTTTTTTTTATATTTATGATTATCATATTAAAAAACTATGTAACCTTTTCGGATGCCAAAAATCATTATTTATAGATATTTTAGTCCCACAACTAAGATAATTTTGTTTTAATTCATGATTCTAATGTAAAATGGATAATTTACCTTTAGAGCATCTTCAATGACATATTTTATATAGTGTATTAATAGTTGGTCTTTTACATGACCACTTAACACTATTTGAGCAAGCTATTTTTTTTTTTTTTGTTTTTTGTTTTTGTTTTTTTGCCGCTCAATAATATCATAAATTGTACATTTAAGTTATTCCACTTTAAATATATTTCATTTATAACTATTTTATAATAATTTCACTATTTTTATTTTATTTTTATAACTAAAACATAATAAATTTTCATATTTTAGGTATATAAATAAAGGCTTGATATCGTTGTGTTTTATATATTCAAATTAAGAAATGATTTGTGTTTAAAAAATGATTAATTAAATTAGATGTTCTGTAAACATTTTATGCAGATGAGGGAAAAATAGTTAAATTTATAGAAAAACTATTAAAATAAGGTTAACCATTGGAGAAGTCACTTATTTAGAGGTCAAAATTAATAAATAATGAGGCGACAATAGCTTTAAGTTATAACATGAGTTAACCATTAGATATGCTCTTATAATTAATTTATTTCGTGAGCCACCTTGCTCAAAATTTTCTTTTCGTCCTTATCTACAGTGCATAACACCAACCCTTACGCATGCTTTTCCCCGATCTTGTACCATTAACACTTCAACCCTAGTGCATGGCGTAATGTTTTATTTTTGGGTCTTACTTTTTTATGTTGAAACCAGAAAATATTCTACACAGTGGCTGAGTCTAGAGCATGAAACAATGTAATTCCCAAATTAAGTGATTCCGATAAAAATAAAATAACCAATAATAATTCTTTCGGGTCGGTGATATATGGATATTATTCATGTATTTTGTACATATTTCTAATACTTTTACCTAAAATTATGTTTATTTTGGGACATAAGGCAGTTATTATGTTTGAAATATGTTTTTTAGTAACAAAGACATACTCGAGATGAAAAGGAAGCAAACGAGGAGCTGGAAGCAAGAAAATGTGAGCTAAGGCAAAAAAAAAAAAAAAAAAAAAAAAGACAAACAAGGCTTGAAGATAGAAGACCACAATGTGGGAATCATTTACCATGATGTGGTGAATGGAAGATTCTCAGCAAATGAGGTAACTTAGAGAATATGGGATATTCATGAAGACCACGATGTGTTGCCTTTGAACCGCATCGTGGTGGTTAGATTTTAGGAAAGTATATATAATATTAAATCGATTTCAAGATGGGGTGGCCTTAAGGATGCGATTATTCACTGGGAAAAAGTCTTCCAAGAACCCTTGGAGGACATAATTCGACTATATATCAAAGGATAACGAGACTAGAGCAAGGATTCACATCTATACATTCGATTTGCTTATTTTAATGATGTTTAGCTTGGTTTACCTTTTGTTTATGTGTTTTTGAGCTGTATTTAGGGGCTAAAAGCCCTTGATTTTATTTCGATTAGATGAACTCTTAATTACTATGTGTTGATTTCTTGTTTTATGGATTGATGAAGTTAGTTTTAGCTTTAAATATTGTTTGGTAAATCTAAAACTAGCATGTTTAAGTTTCTATCTTTATTCCCTTGTCACAAGATTATGTAGTTAATCTTGAGTTATTTGCATGAAATTGATTTATCTGGCTATTTATAATCATTAAATTGTTAGACCTAGTGATTAGTCATATCATAATATAGGTGATAAGTTAGTTGCTTAACTGTGTTAGACAACAATATTTGATCATAATATTTTCTTGATTACTAAACTTGAGCAAAGAATAACAGTCTATAGATTCTATCATTTAGAGTCCAAATTATATTTAAAATCAATTTAGTGTCTTTAAATTGCATGATCATTGGGGTTAAATTTATTGAGTTGACTTATGCTAGTTAGGCTGATCATGATGACTAGTAACTTTTATTTGGTAACTAACAGAATTAATCCACTGTCTTGAAATCAAATATAGGAAACACGGGGGATTCAAAGATTAACGAAAGCATCCTTTATTATTGATTTAAAATAATCATTTTACTTGTTTACTTTAGTAATTAGTTGAGTATTTTAATTAAGTTAATCTGAACTTGTAAAATCAGATAAAACCCCCACTTATAGTTTTTTTTTCTTAGTTTAATTCTTAGTAGTTATTTTATTAAATAAATACCATTCTTAGTAGTTTTTTTTCTTAGTTTAATTCTTAATAGTTACTTAACTCAAAATTCACGACGTCATGATTTCAGCTACAAATGAGCTTATCAAGCAGACTCATGTTCGTCATGAAAAATAAATTCAGTGATTAGAGAAGGACATTCTTCACAAGGATGCAATGAACATGGTTATGCAAGAAGTTCTCATCAAAGTCGACTGATTAGCGCAACACGTTGTGGATACTTCGAACCATAAATTTGATGAAATGATTTATCATCCTAGATGAAACCTTCAAAAATCTCAAAGCCTAAGCTCCTACTGCTGATGAATATGATTCGCTTTCCAAGTAAATCAACATAAGCTAACAACGACTGTTTGAATGG